ATGCTTAATCTTTTTTAAAATTATATGTTGGATCATATATTTGATCAATCTATCAATCAAATAGTGTAGTGTACTATTCAGGATGATCTCGCCATCCATTGTTGGAACTCAAACATTGAAAATTAGGTTTTACACAAACTGAAAAGCACTGTATATGTCATTAATCACCATATACCTGTATTATAATTTGGTTTGGCATTAATAAATAGTTGCAGCTGCACAAATAGTGATGCAAGTGGTTATAACTTAGAAGCCATTGCTGTGATTAACTGTCTTCAGTAACTAGTAGTACTACTAAGAACTGTACTGTAGATCACATTTTTTNAACTGAAAATAATTTATGAGTATACAGTGCCTTTGAAACTAGCTCGCCATAAAATGCTGTTTAAGATGAGACCAAAATACACACTCAAGTTTTAACTAATTATAGGATCAGAAGGTAAATTAGCCAATGAACAGTAGACATGGAATGAAGAGATGAAAGAGCGATTCAGGGCAAGAGAAGTTCAGTGACTTTTTAAAACACAGGCTGATTTATGCAGTCTGTTCAGCAGCTTTTTGTCTATATACATCTGCCCATGTTAGAGCTCATTTTGGTGTTAATCTGAGTACAGAATTTGGGATCATTTTAAAATATATTTTTTACTTCAGGATTATTTCATGAGAAACAAACGCTTTGTCTGCTCAGTATAAGCTTTTCAGTTATGTGAAGGCATCTATGTGTAAGAAAGTGCAAAAGAAAATTTCCTTTTTATGTTACATATTTTATGTATATTTTACCACTGAGTCCTGTAGCTCAGTGGTTAGAGCACTTGCCTTGCAAGCAAGAGACTTGGGTTAAATTCCTGGCTGGGCGAAATGTTGGGCAAGTTTCCTCACTCTACGCATTTGTTACTCAATTGGAGGATCGCTTTTCTGGGGGTAATAATTCCTGGAAAAAAAATTGGTCACTTCAGTCTACGACTGTTTGTGGGACACTGCTGTGCCCAATTGGCTGCCACATTTTGCCCACAAATATACAGTCAATTCACTTTACAGTATATTCTGTAAAGCGCTTTGAGACGTCTAGAAGATGTAATAAGGCGCTAAACCAAATGTAAGGATTATTATTATATTTTGTATACAATGGACTTTTCATTTGTTATGTACTTATTTAGGGTATATACTTAATAACATAAAGTACATTAGAGTACAAAAAAAATTGTCTGGAACTTTGCATTTCTAGTAATCACAGCAATATACTTGCATTAATGTAATATTCATTGATAAAGAACATCCTAAAGATCCCATTAACAATGGGAATGGTCAACAAAGAGCATCAAGTGGGAGGAATTTAGAGGTGATTGAAGGCACAGTCAAAAAAATAGGTTAGCCTGAAGGTTTAGGCAAGCTGAAGCATGACATTCACATTGGTTAGATGCTGACTTTAAAATCTATCCATCTATCTGTTGAGATGACCAGGCCAACTAATTAGCGTTGCCAGGTGAAAAATGTTGCTGTTAATTTGTTGCTTAAATAATGACATACAATTGCTTAGAATCTAAAGCACTGAAACATGAACTTCCAAAAGGGAGATTCCACCGTTTCACATTTCCTATTGCCTAGTTACAAAACATGTTTTACAAAGCTGCAAGAAATAGCCATAAACGTCATAAACCGAGAATTTAAAAAAAGTATAAAGTAAAAATACAAGGCCAAGTGTTGTGTGTCAAGACAGCAATACCAGGTTTAGCAATTTAGATTTGCTAAATGATGCAGTGTCATTGTTACCCAATCATGTCTGTAAGCAATGTAGCTTGGGGTGAGACTCTTAGATACTACAATGTGAGGAGTACAGGAGGGTACAGATTCAGGGATTTGAATGGCAAGTTCAGGACAGACACCAGGAAGTATTTCTTCACACAGGGGTAAATTGACAACTGGAGAAGGTATACCACAAAAGGTTGTTGAGCCCAGGACACTGGATTCATTTAACAGTTCAATGCTGTAATGGAGTGGGAATTCTGGAAGGGTCAGATGAAGCTGAAGAGGCTTCTACATCCATAATCTCACGTGTGGTATTATGCCTACTCATAAATATTTAACTTTGAGAACAAAAGCTGAGTTTAAAGTAGAAAACAAATACCCATTTGAAATTGTGTTTGTATTGTATTGCTATACTAAACTAACTATTCCTGATGGCCAGGAAAGGAGAGTTTCAGTGTTGTTTTTCAGCACAACTATTCTTAGTAGTTCCTGAAATGTAGCCAAACGTCTGTCAGGAGTTCCCTGTAGAGTGCCAACACCACTTTAAATTGCAATGCCAAGAAAAGCCTCAGAAAAATATTTCAAAAACTCCTTGGGTTTAACATATTTTTACATTTTTTTGAAAAAATTCCCAGCTCCCTGTAAATAGCTATTTGGAGATGGTTGTGAGTGACGCTTTGATTGGGAAATTCTCCAGATAATGAAAATAAGTGGAGCTCTATAATCTGTTCAATGCTGTCAGAAGTCTTATTTCATTTTTAAACTATAGACAAAGTATTCTTTTCAATGTCGATTTAAAACTTACAGGTATATTTATCTGCACCAAACTCTGTGCCACCATCACCCTTGCCAAGCTCCACTGGCTCCTTTGTACGGAATCGATCGAATTCAAGATCCTCACACTCATGTACAAATAACTTCATACCCTGACACCTTCCTACCTCTCTGACCTGCTTACATCCCACTCCACTACCCGCCGCCTTCATTCAGCTTGCTTTGGTCTCCCGCACGTCCCTTGTCCTCTCTGCTCCGCCATTAGTGGCCACGCTTTCAGCTACGCCTTGAAACTATAGAATACTCTGCCTCATTTCCTCTTCCTTGCCTCCTCCTTCTCCGTCTTCAGACCATACCTGAAGACCTTGCTCTTGGACCATGCCTAGGGTCATCTTCCTCCTTCTCCCGGCTCGATGTCAAGCTCTGCCACGTGAACGGCACTCTGTAAAGGCAGGTTGTTGCTGTTGTTGTTGTTGATAGTAGGTTTGTTATTCTGGTAGGAAGAGGTCAAAGGGCTGCCTTGACCCAAATTTTGTGACAACAATAATGAGAAAAAAAGTCATGTTTCACTGCAAGCAGGATTTTATGGTATATTTTATGGTATTTGTTGGTTGATTAATCTGTGTGCCACTCAGTGATGGAACAATAGGTTGAAGGCTATGGTTTTCCACATGTGTAACTCATAGTTATAGCTATGTCACTGAGGGAGGCACAAAGTGAAAAAAGCAGGTGCACTTTTCCACAGGAAGGGAAAATGCATTATCTGGTTTACATCAAAGGGTAGCATATGCAGAACTGTCTGATTAGATCATCTGCCCGTTTTTCAACCAGGGAATAATTTAATCCAAAGGGCTAGGCACAAGTATTATTTTTCAAAAATGAATATTCAGTATTCACCACACAACTCTTTGCAAATCAAAGGTGCCACAGTGCCCTCTGGTGTTTGTTGTGCAGCATATAATTTCCAAATGCAATCATTTTTTTTATCGTTATTACTAAATAATAATCCTTGCCTTTGATATAGTGTCTTATCACATCTTCGAGACATCTCAAAGCACTTCACAGGATATACTGGTTGTTTTTGGTCAGCTGGATGTCTGAGACACGTGAAAACCCATCACCATGCTTAAAGGTATCTGAGAATTCCATGCATCCAGAGATATATGGAAATTCCAGAGATAGATTGTTGGAATGTAATGCACATTCTCTCCCTGGAGGGATGCATCCTGCTAGGATATACTGTAAAGTGGTTTAACTCTGTATTTTGTGGGTGAAGTAAATCTGGGTATTGGTAAAGTAAAACAAACTGTAAATCCTGTCAAATTGTGCAGTGATTGTTCGGTTTCAATGGAAGAAGGTGGATTTGAGTCCTGGCACATATGTTGGAGAGCAAGAAATTGAGAGAAAGTAAACCCAGAACAATATAAACCCAGAATAATATATTTGTAGCTTGAAGTCATATAATGCCTTTAATCAAGGAGAGGTGCAGAGGACTATAATATGTGGAGGACAGTTTAATACAAAAGAATAATAATCCTTGCATTTGATATAGGTCTTATCACATCTTCGAGACGTCTCAAAGCGTTTCACAGAATATACTGTAAAGTGAATTGACTGTATATTTTGTGGGCGAAACACGGCAGCCAATTATGTCCCACAAACAGTCATGGATTGATGACCAAATTATTTTTAAGGAATTATTACTCCCGGAAAAGTGATCCATCAATTGACTAACAACCAGGTTCCTACTTACTGCTAGGTAAACAGAGGCGTGTGGAGTAAGGAAACTTGCCCAACGTTTCCCCCTGCCGGGAATTGAACCCGGGTCCTCTCGCTTGCGAAGTGAGTGCTCTAACCACTAAACTACAGGACTCCAGAATATGGCCAAGCACCCCTAATAGGTGAGCAATGATTTTTTTCAGTTTATTTTGTATCCTCCACATATCTACCTCCTCATTTAGAGCATTAAAATATCATTTAATTTTGATAAGTTGTTTCCTTCACTGTATAATTGCTGTCTGTGGTGTAAGTTGCTGTCGCAGATAAGAAATGAAGACCGGTCTATGGGTATGGATTTCATGTAGTCTGCTTGAAGGGAGTTTCTAAGATTCTCTATCAGAATGGCTTACTGGCCCACTGCTTTCAAGCCTGCCTCGTGTCAATCAGGAGTGGTAATTGCTGAATTGGGTTAAAAATAATTTGTTGCAATCTATGCTGAATTGGGTACAAGGATATTATTAGACAATCCTGATGGTCAAATTTCTCTTTTCCATAGATAATGTAGGGCCAACAATTTACATAGGTTTACAATAGCCGATTTGTGTATCCATATGAAGGGGTAGGTCATAGAAAGGTACAGACAGAGTAACGTTGTAAATCTTGTGCAGAAGAAAGTATGGTACCTTAAAGGGTAAGGGTTAGTTGACATATGGTACAACATAATGCTAATGCTTAGAACACAAGAGAAACTTAGAAACAAATGTAATTAACAGATTTTATTACTGAATACAGAATTCACAGAAGCTTTCTATCATTGCACTTATATTGGCATGCAAGCTGGTGGCAATGTTTTTAATGCATTAATTTTGAACTAAATGTAACTTCTCAAATGTTCTTTAAACTTTGCTTGACATTTATCTTCTTGTTAAATTAACAAATTCAGTGGTTGCATCAATTACTATACAAGGTGATGAAAAAACAGGAACGTTAAAGGCTGAATAACAGCCGATACATACAGTCCAGTGTAAATGTTAACTTCCACATACTCAAAATGAAGCAACATTATTTACTGTGTTCACATAACAAACAGCACAATTTTAACCACATTTTATACAGAATGGGAAGTTTTACAACTACGTTTAGTGGATGTTGCAGCAATACTTCATGACACTATGAATAAAAAAACTGTAGTTTACTTGTAGGGAAAACAATCAAGTGCCTTTTTCCCTTCAAGCACTACATTGCTATTGTAATTTTTTTTGCAAGTCGTCCACTTTTTATTTCTAAATCTATCTGGCTGAACAACAGTAGTGTACGAAAAAAAAAAAAAACTAGGCATATCTATATTAAATACTCTTTTAGATGTATCACTATAAATAACAGGTGTAAGAAATTCAAATTATAGTGCTAAATGGCCTCTACTCTCAAATATTACTACATGCAGAGCCACATCAATGCAGTTATGGTATCTGTCACTGTAACACAGAATGGAACCCAATTATTGTGACCAAATTATCTTAAAAAGTTTGTGTTTGAGTGTGAATAGAAGCTACCCTTTCATGGCACAAATGTATAACAAGAATTAGTGCACATCAAACAACAGAAAGGGATGGGGAGTGTTTTGTGTTCCTGGATGTTGATCCACACTTCTTCAAATCCTGAATTGGAAAGGCCAAATCAGATCATTGTCTCTGTAAGACAAAACATGCTGTTAAAACAGAATGCAAAAGTATGAGAAGTCGCTGGGAACACTCAGCAGGTCAGGCAGCATCTATGGAGAAAGGAAAGTGAGTCAACGTTTCAGATCCACAACCCTTCGTCAGAACTGAGAAGGGTCCCAGTTCTGATGAAGGGTCATGGACCCGAAACGTTGACTCACTTTCCTTTCTCCAGGGACTTCTGTTTTTGTTTTCAGATTTCCAGCATCTGCAGTATTTTGCATTTTGCAAAAGAAAGAGGTTGGGCACTGTTTGCATAGATGCACCAATGTCTATTTTCTTCAAGTTTATTTACAATTTTTACTCTCCTGGAAGGCAGTAAGTATACTTCTTTGGGCAGTGGCACCTCTCTGCTACACCATCCAAATTGTTGATTAATAAACTGGACAGTGAATATTGGCTGCCTATTCAACTCTAGGCACTAGCCTCAGGCTATCCTCACTCACTGTAAAACTAGAAAGTGATCTGAAGTAGCAAAGCTGATATTTTTACTCACTAGCCAAGAGACTCTAAACCTAAGTGTATTACCCCTGCTGAGATTGATTAACTCAGCATAGACCTGGTATTAACCTCCTGATTCAGTATAGTTTACTGAACAACATTGTATAGTGCATTCACCCAACAAACTATTAGGAAGCTCCTCTTCTCCATTTCTATAAACATTTGTGTACGAGTTGAATCATCTCTAGAGATTGCTAGAATAAGAATTTCTAACATTACATCTAGTCACAATGATGGTATCTCTCCCCTTTACAAAATTCTTGCTAAACATTTTCGCCGCTGAAGAACCATATATTATCTAGCTGTTTCTTGAAGTACAATCTCCCTGTACTCCAATGAAACATATTTCTGTATCAAGCTTTTGGTGGAAGTTGAACATTCTTTTTAAAAAAAACTAGTGGGCTGCTGAAGATTTAACTCGGGTAGCCTATTTAATATCCCTCTCTCTTCCAAATTTACCCTCTGAATACACAGGTGAGTCGAGGGACTTGGAGCAGGCCGGAGCCGGCTGAGCGGAGGGAGCTGGCGGGTTGGTAGGGGGTTAGGAGGTCGCAGAGGCCATGGAGCCTTTGTAGGTGAGGACCAGGATCTTGAACTGGATCCTCATCAGGATAGGGAGACAATGGGGTCGGGCGAGAATGGGGGAGATGGAGTCACTAATTTGTATGTCAAATAAAATGGAAAGAAAGTTTCTGAGATAGTGCTACCTATTGCTCTCACTCTGAGATAAGATTAACTCTCCGCTTAGGAATATTGCACCTTGATTAGATTACACCTGGTTAATGGTGGCCATTATGAAGAGAAGTCATAATTCACAGCAGTTAGTGGGGAGAGGAGTTTGTGCGGGACAATTACTGAGGATACGAAGAGCAGTCCATTGGCCTCTGACTTAATCAGGTATGCCAACCTCACTACCCCCTTTCCCTCTGAGTGTGTGAGCAAAGATGTCTGTTTCTGAAACAGAAACTGTCCTGAGGCATCAGCATAACAAGCATCAGCCTGGTAGTTCTCCCCCCTCACCACCGGTACTGTCTCTGGAGTCTGGGTGGCTCCCTTATCTTACCGGAATTACAGAGAGTGATTTACAGCCTAATCAGAGCACTGTACAACTTCTGGGATTATAACTCATCATATTTGGCAGTGTAGCCTCAAATCATGCACATTTTGTTTACTGCTGGCTCACGCTGTCTGGATATTGTGAGTCACGAATCAACTGCCGCCCTTTGGTCTCTTTTAACATTCCACTTAGTAAGTTTACTGATGTCAGAAATTGTGTGGAAAATCATGATCATAAACTTGCAATTTGCAACTCACGACCTTGTGCAGTCAGACTACATTAGCAATTGTGATAATTAAGGTGATCAGAATCACTTTCTACTCACCAAAACAAATATAACATGAAATTTTCATTCTAAGCATTTTGGGACTTTGCACCAAGCAATCATAAAACTGCTGCCTACTCAGTAAAGCACAGTTCTGCTGCCTTTAATAGATACTAACTAGCACTCAAAGATAGTTCTTATGCTTATCTTTCTCTGCCTGAGCTGGATTTAAAGACAAATCCCAGAAATTGAAGAAGTGAAACTGGAAAGATGTCATGGGGCTGACCAGCTTCCTCTTAGCTTCTCAAAAAAATCTAGTTGAGATAATAAATCGACAGCAACAACAAAATTACATTTGTAAAGTGCCTTTCACATCGAGAGGATGTCCCAAGGCGCTGAACAGTCAGGGATCAGAACCCAAGCTTGGGAGGGCAGGGTTGGGATGAGGGTGGGTGGGTGGGGGGGGGGCAAAGAACTAGAACTCTGCAGCTCGTGTACTATCACGCACCAGGCTTAGCGACCACATCACTCCCACCCTCGCTCGTCTCCACTGGCTCCCCATCCCCCAGAGGATCGAATTCAAGATCCTCATCCTCACCTACAAGGCCATTCACGGCCTTGCTCCCTCCTACCTCTCCAACCTACTATCCCCCTACTTACCTGCCCGTACCCTCCGTTCCTCTAGCTCCGGTCTGCTCCACATCCCCCGCCCCAACCGCCCTACCATTGGTGGCCAGACTTTCAGCCTCTCAGCCCCTAGGCTCTGGAACTCCATCCCCCAGTGCCTTCGCCTTGCCTCCTCCCTTTCCTCCTTCAAGGCCGGTCTCAAGACCTTTCTCTTTGACCGTGCCTTCAGCTCCTCTCTCGACTCTCTACCCCCTCCTCACTCCCTCCCTTCCCTCACCCTGACCATTTCACCCCTGCTTAGGTCCTGACCCAACTGGCCAGCTCCTTGGGACGTCCTCCCGATGTGAAAGGCGCTCTATAAATGAAATCTTGTTGTTGTTGTTGTAGAAGGGCGGCTGAAGGTACAGTTGGAAAGGAGGATCTTGAGACATGCCTTGATGGAGGCATGCAAGGGGACTTTGGGACGTCCTCCCGACGTGAAAGGCGCTCTATAAATATAATTTTGTTGTTGTTGTTGAGAGAGCACGGTGAAGGGATTGTGGGATGGAGTTCCAAAGGGGGCAGAGAGGCTGAAGGCCCAACCGCAGATGGTAGGGCGGATCAGGTGGGAGAGCTGGTGCAGGCTGGAGCCTGCTGAATGGAGGGAGCGGACAAGTTGATAGGGAGTCAGCAGGTCAGAGAATTAGAAGGGGGCAAGGCTATGGAGGACTCTTGAAAGTGACAACAACAAGATTACATTTGTATAGCGCCTTTCACGTCAGGAGGACAAATTTCTATTATGGGGCATTTTAAATGGCAGCAAACCAGACACAATTAGTTTATCATCTCCAAAAATAGATATTAAAATTACATTGAGCAAAATAAAGAAATTCTGACAACTTCTTCTGGTTAGGTATTAATGTTTGATCTCAAGCTATCAATGAATGCAATTCAGAGACCATATTTTGGCAGCTTTGTTGAAAAAATCAGCGTAAAAAGAATTTGTTTTGTTCAATCTGAAATCTAAAAACAAATGTATTCACCTATAGGAAGAACCTACCTTGAACTTCTCCTGGTTACACCATTTCATACTGGTTTGCTGTAATGAATCGGGACAAACAGCAGGCCAGCAACATTCCGATCAGCTGTAAAGTAAAAGAATAAAATAAATGCTTATACTGTACTGTTTTAGGAAGCATCCTGGGATATTTGGATTCATGCAAGCAGTGATGCTTAACTGCCTGTACTCCACTGAAACATTTCTTTATCAAGCTTTTGGTGGTAGTTGAAAATCCTTTTTAAAAAAAACTAGGGGTCTGCTGAAGATTTAACTGGGGTAGCTTCATTGAGTTTCAAATGGTTATCCTATCTAATATCCTTCTCTTCCAAATTTACCCTCTGAATACACCTGGGGATATTATACCATATATCTGGGGATCAGTTTACTCGAGAGTTAGACCGATTTGTATGTCAAATAAAATGGAAAGAGAGTTTCTGAGATAGTGCTACCTATTGCTCTCACTCTGAGATAAGATTAACTCTTCACTTAAGAATATTGCTCCTTGATTAAATTACACCCAGTTAATGGTGGCTCTCCTTCCCTTCATAACGCACAGCAGTTAGTGGGAAGAGGAGTTTGTGGTGGACAATTAATGAAAATGCAAAGTAAAGTCCATTGGCCTCTGAGTGAATCAGGTTTGCCAACAACCACACCACCCCCTCCACTACCCCTTACCCTCCGAGTGTGTGAGCAGAGATGTCTGTTTCCGAAACAGAGCATAAAAGACAACTGTGCCTGTTGCATCAGCAAATAAGCATTCTGTGCTTGGCTGTGGGTGAGAACAGATGGCAGATAATATCAACAACTAACAACACAGCACAAGCATGAAACCGGGAACAACTGAGACAGACTTTGAGAGAATCAAGGTGTCCAAATCTACTGTGAACCTTGTAAATTACTACAAGCAGCATGCCTGAAATGATCTCCTACTTCTTGGGAGTCCCAGCATCTGAGAATCCTTTCAAGGAGAATAAAATCTGCATCATACGATCGATTTGTTCACAGACTGATTAAGCTCAAATGATGGATGGATCCCAGAATATCCGCAGAGGTAGAGGGGGNTTGAAAAGTGGTAGAGTGAGGTCAAAGAATTGCTGGGAGAGTGAACAAAAACTGGCACTGTGTGCAATACACAGATTGTACTATATGATTGGCAGAGAAGGAAGCTGACACTGTTATAGAAGCAGCATGCAGCATGGAGGAATGGCAGTGTGTGAGAAGTGGGGGTAGGAATGGCACTATGAGGAGGGATGGGATATGAATTGCAATGTGTTAGAGGCGGGGAGGAGGGTTGGCACTGTGTGAGGTGTGGGGAGGAGGGGTGATATTGGATAGAGAAAATGGTTAACAGAGCAGACGTGTTGGGTAGCTCGTAAAATGGCAATCTTGATTTTCATTTGTTGTGTGACTGTAACCCAAAATACTGTTCATCCCAACTCATTGTCCTCTAGGACTGGAAATATGACAAGAGAGACAAAACGTTACCAAGATGTTATAAAAGACCTCTACTAATTTAACTTTTATTTGACCTGCAGAGGGTCTAAGGGGTGAAATCCTAGGACTTGGTCAAGTTACCTTGTCAGCATAGGTTTATAGTAGGAAATCCAGTGGAAATCATTTACTGATGTTGAACACGAATTGGATTCCAACAGATATTTTAACACAAAGTACACTTACTGAAACAGAGAATTCAGTTGTGGTTCTGCCTTAACTCTAGAAAATGAAGGCACTGCATGGGATACAATTTTGGGGTATTTTGTAACTCATTTCCATGTTCGAATTAACACAAGTTAAATGTTGTTGCACAGCTTTCTCAAATCCAAAGGTTGAGAAGCCACAAAATAAACACAGTTGTTGGGAAGACAGAGTAAGAATATATGCTTGTAGTTTATTTAACAGAACAACTTGCTTGTTAAAGCACAGAAAAACAAACAGAATCTTTCTGCGCTACAATTGTTTACCTGTAAGAAAGCAATTCCAAATGCAACCCCAGCAATAATTCCCATGTTCGTCTCCATAAAACCAGTCACCAACTCGTAGCAGCCCTGTAAAATCAATCAACAAATAAATTATGTTTTATATTTAATCTTATTGAAAAACATTTTTATCCAGTCTCAATTGTAGCTAATTCCTTGTGTGAGGTGACTTCTGACTGTTCTTTTCAAACATGATTTAGGACACTCTTGTGCGATTTTTTTTAAAACCTCTGGTTGGCACACACAAAAAATGTAGGTACTTTTCAAAAATTCATATGAGTGTTATCATTTGAAAGAGTCTAACTATTATTAATATGTATTAAGGAGCATTATTTTTCTTACCAATAATGTCTCTCATAGAGTTACATTTATGTTTCTTAATTGTAAAGTGGTCTTTAGAATTTATTTACTGACAGACAGAAAAAATATTTGCTTCAAAGACAACCAAAGTATTTTATTTTTAGATGCTCTGAGACAATAATAGAAGAGGACACAAGTTTAGAGTTGCAAAGGGTAATTCCAAACACATGCCAGGAAGCATTAACTACCCAGAGAGTAATTAATAACTGGAAAAGTTGGACAGCTAGGATGATTGAGACTAAGATACTGGACTTAAAAACAGGTTAATGCTGTGATATGAAGATGATAGGTAATATTCTGGAAGGAAGAGATCAAAAGGGCTGTGACTTGTGAGAATAAAAACAGATATCATTTACTCTCCAAAAGGAAGAAGCGGAAAGAAAAAAATACGCTCCACAAGATGACCAGTTATAAAATGGTATTAACAAAGGCTGAAGGTAATGTTTCTGATTGTCTGCCCTCTTGGTTAGATTTTGATACGTGTTGATGAGAAACTTTTAAATAGAAACTTAAAAAAAAGAATAGCCACAACAGCTCTCTTTTTCATCACAAGACTTTAGTAATTACAGATGCTGCTCACAGCTTTCTTTAGAGCCCTGTTTCCACCACGAACATTGAACAAACCCAGAGAGCACATTTTTGCATTTTGTTTCTCAAAAGACTATTATTAGAATGTTTTATAATGATAACAGACGATGAAAAGTCTTCAATCTATTTCAAACAGTGATACTGTAATTGCTACATCAATGGGGGGTGGGGGATAAGGGGACATGTACTCCATAATCTCATTATTTTGAGAGGAGACTATATTTGGAAGTCTATAATATACAATATTGTTATACTTCATGGAAAGATATCTATTTTTAAAGCTGAGAAGAAATTTGGTAGTCAAACGGTTAATAAAGATTTAGCAGACTATCTGAACTGATTGTGAGTAAGATTAAGATTGATGAAGAACCTCAGGGTACAGATGGTCATATAAAAGACCATAAGACGTAGGAGCAGGAGTAGGCCATTTGGCCTCTCGAGCCTGCCTCGCCATTTAATAAGATCATACAACAACAACAATTTGGATTTATATAGCGCCCTCCACGCCGGACGGTGTCTCAGAGTGCTTTACAGTAATGGATCCCGGGACTGACCCAAGGGGAGGGGGAGGAAGGTGACCAAAGGCGTGGTCGAAAAGAAAGATCTTCAGCAGAGACCTGAAAATGGGAAGGGAGGGAACGAGACGAAGGGAGTGAGGAAGGCAGTTCCAGAGCCTCGGGGCATAGTGGCTGAAGGCACGGCCACCGAGGGTGGAGCAGAGGATTCAGGGGACGAGGAGGAGGCCAGACCCAGAGGAACGAAGGCAACGGGTACTGTTTTGAGGAGAGAGGAGGTCAGAGAGGTAGATGGGTGTAGAGGAGTGCAGGGACTTGAATACGAGGGTGAAGATCTTGAAATCGATCCTCTCTAGGATAGGCAGCCAGTGCAGTCTAGCTGGGACTGGGGTGATCGGGGAGCGGAGTTTCGTGTGGGTGGCTGAGTTTTGAATGATTTGGATTTTATGGATGTAGTGGATGGGAGACCGGTGAGGAGGGCGTTGGAGTAGTCCAGCCGAGAGGTGACAAAGGCATGGACCAGGATTTTAGCAGCTTTTGGGGAAAGGTATTGGCAGAGATGGGCGATGTATTGGAGGTGGTAGAAGACGGTTCTGGTGAGGGACTGGATGTGGGGGAGGAAGGATAATTGGGGGTCATACTAAAAACTAAAGTCATGGGATGAGCCAGTGCCTCAGTGTATTAATCTTATGTGCCAAAGCTGGATTCAAACTTGTTTTAGCAACACATCTATATGGCTGACAGGCAGCATTGGAGAAACAAAATGTAAACAGATGGTGAGCATCTATGTTTACATATACAAACTGTGTCCCATTATAACTTCAAAACAGAATCTATTTTAATAATGATTTAATAGGGATCTTGTGATTTTCTAAGTCAGTTAGCAAAAACAGATGACTGAAGTTAGCCCTGCTGCTGGAGTGTCAGTAGGATGAGGAGTATGAGCCTGTTACTGGGTGAGTATAAGCCTGGGCTGCCGACAGTTTTGCAACTAGTGGCAAAGATATCTATTCCAAACTTAATGCCTGTGCAAAATGTAGCCTCTCATCATTCCATATCCATTGAAAAATAAAGGTTGATTACCTACAAAATGCCTCCTCCATTTTATATGATTAGTAAGGCAATAGTGGTTGAATAAAAGCTCCTCACGTACCTGCTGGTAAATTTTAGTGATGGCAATGGTTATGTTCTGCAAATCCTCTGGGTTACAGTCACTGTTGTTTATACAACAGCTCTCAGGTATGCCATGCTCAGGCCAGTAGGTGCTGGAGATCCAGTTTGTATAATTCTGTACCCCACAGCAGTGCAGCTGAAAAAACAAAATATTCAGTTTACACACCGTTTTCATTGGCTGCAGACAGCACACTTTTCTAGAACATTAATGAAACAATTCTATTTTACTTCAAAAAATGTTGTATCATTGCGCCGTTGACTGCCCTGCACCTTGGGATGTCCTCCCGGCATGAAAGGAGCTATACAAATATACTTTTGTATTGTATTTTCAAAATGTATAATTCCCATGTCTATTATTCGAATAATTTACATTTCTGCTGGACTGTGAAATAGTTCTCCCAGTTCTTCACAGGTTTCCACTGCCCCCAACAACATTGCTGCAAACTACTCTGGGACATTTACCAATGAGCTGTACCCCAGGATTGTAACATAGAGAGAACATCATTGGTGTCAAGACATTCAGCAGCCCAGCAGACATATAGGAGCAATGGGGTAACAGAACAAATAATAGAGATTCTCTCGCTCACCACCAATATACTAATTTAGAGAATGAAACCCAATGAAAGGAAGTGGATGCAATGTTTCATAATGTAAAGATTGTGTGATAGATAGGGGCTATCCCTTTCGTACAAACCATCCCTCCATTACTAAGCATTTAGTTTCCTTTGATCTAACTGTAGTGTATGTAACATTCCACCATAAACTCTTTGGACATTGAGAATCATCACCTGCAGTAAGAGGTGAGAATGTGTAGATTCAATAATGGGATGTGTTAGAATACAAGCACAACCACAGTACCTTCTCCCCAGACAGTTTAAGTTTTCAACTTTACTTTCAGTATACATGAATTATGTAATTTCCTGCAGACTGTTTCCCTTTAATAAAAAATAGTTGCTCTCCCCAGCATGACGGTCACCACACTCAATTGTGTTGTAGATAGATGATTAGTTCACTTACACTGTGTTGTACATCATCCACTGCACGACTTTTCTCATCCTTGCCATTGTAATTATGGACAGCATCTGTGTAGGTCTTGTAGAAAATGTCCTTTATCTTGAAGAAAGTAAACAGTAAAGGACTATTTACTATTTTCATAAACAAAATGAGTCATGCAGCAAGTATTATTGTCAGCGATCCCTTTTGCAGGTTGTAGAAGCAACTTCTTAGGTTACAGGCTTTGCTGTTGCTTACTCACTGGTCAGAGTTGTATCCAGTTTGTGCGGTAGAACAATAAGTCTACTAATTGGTGAAAACACAGATTTATTCTCCCCATTCCCTGTGTGTGTGTGTGTGTGTGTGTGTGTGTGGGGGTAAGAGAGAGAGAGAAAGGTGGTTGCCTTTATTTGGGTCATGTTAGCGAAAACTGAGAGTTCAACTTTGTGATACACAGGCCCATAACAATGCATCACTGGATCTTGAATCCAATATGAATGATTGGGGTGCATGCCAATGAAGTGAGCTTCAGATACTGTTAGACGTCATTGGGCTGTCATGTTGTTGCTGATGTCAATTCCTGTGTGTTACACACATAGGGACTATGCACCGAAGATGATGGCAGCAAATTGACATCAAATTGATTTTTTGCACATTCTCAATCAACACGGAGACCATGCAGGAAGGGACATTAGTGATGCTTACTTTGCATAATGTGCAACACACTGTAAGTAAGAACAACCTGATAATCTGGAAGTCTGCTTTTTTTTAGTGTGGCAAACCGGCTTCTCAGCATTGGAACCCAGATGTATGATGCAGGTCCACAGTAGACCCACATTATAAGTGAGATAATGAATCTATTAAAGTGAGTTATAACAGCGTTCTTGGTTAAACTAAAACATGAATGACTGCATTTCAAAGCTTTAAATTATATTTCTCAGGTCTTTCTGAAGTAAGCACTTTTTACATGAAATACACAATAAAGACTTTATATAGATATGCACTTTGCATGAAATTGCTGGATTGGGATAGAGTTAAAGTGGTGGATTTATTCTCCTGCAATTGTAACTCCTAAAAAAACAATTCCAAATACTTACCTCATGCCTGAACACAAATCCAGAAATGCCAGCGACCAGCTCAGCCAGGAACACCAAGGACAGGAACATGGCATACTACAAACAGGGGAGAAATTACTCTTAACTATTAATACCCAGGATGCTTGTATGGAGCAACAAAAATAAAAGTGAATGTTAGAAATCTGTAATAAAATGCAGAAAACAGAAGTGTCATATCTGAAACATTAAAGCTCTTTGGTTTGTTTAGGTGCTGACTGATCTGGTGTGGATTTCTAGCATTTTCTGTTTTTATGATGGATAGAATTACATCTGACTGCAGAATAATTTAGCTGGAGAATATGCACACTGCTGCAGTATCTGACATCTCAAGAGTTTCAGACTGAATGCCTGATTATCCTTGAGCATTGAGGTTTATCACCTACAGTAGATAACTGCAAACATAGGTGCAATAATGAATAGATGCAACAATGCAGGGTAAATACAGGGTACAACAGGTCACAGTGCATTCACCACAGACTGTGCCAATGGAATAGCACCACTAAATTGCAGCATTTTGACACTTTGGGAGAGCTAAAATAAATTTACATCAAATAATGTTAGCTGGCAAACAGACAATATTTCTCTTTATGGAGAGGAGGCAGAAAATATTTGAAGTGATTTAAACAGGAAGAGAATTAATTTCAGAAACATTAAAATGGAAAATAAAAAGAATCATCAACTCAGTGACCTGTTGTACCAACTCCGTGTGTCGCAGGGGAGGGGGGGGATTCCTGGCAGGGAATTGGTTGTGAATCCCCGTACATTGAAATCTCAATCATTGTGAATCTGAGTGAAGGTCAGGTACTTCTTTGCCAACATGGTGGGAAATGTATGACATGCATAAACCTGGAGCAGAGAGAGAGAAAGAGAGACTCCCCTCTTGTGTACCTTCTGGTAATCAATTTCAGAATAATACTGGCAGATCGTGGGAACAGATTGCCATCTCCCCTCCCTGCCTTGGTCAAGGATGGTGAATGGGAACAGGCAGAATACGAGAGAAGAAAATAACTTATTTATAACAATTTAAATTATGATAAACCATGAAGGAAATTTCCGTCCATCAGGTTTCATGGCATTTGATTTCATTCCTCTCTATCATTTATTGTTGAAGTGTAAATGAATGTACTCTCATAGTAAACATGTGGTAAATAGGTGGCAATTTTTATTATTGGTACTTGCTAGATACTGATATCACTCTGGGTGTGTATTATTGTGGTAAAATGCAATTTTTGTATCACTGACCAGTTTCAGCATCCATGGGCTGCCCCGACATGTTGCAAAGCACCCAAACAGTCCAAAGACAACAATTGTCGTCCCAGTTCCAATAAGCACATAGGGTGCATTTGTGGAGTTCTCAGCGACGAGTGAAATATAAGTTCCTAATGTGAGTTTACCCCATACTCCAACAGCCAATAGGACCACGCCTGTGATCTGTAAGATAAGGAAAGACTATTTAATCAAACATAAACTTTTTTTTCATTTCTTGACAACACAAAGCAGAATAGCATGTTAACAGTCTCAAATTCTTGATATGAGGCTCTAGCTTCCAGGTGGCATCAATAACAATGCCCACTTTATAATGCTCCTTTGGTGTTGGGTTGATGCTCAAAACAATACAACACCAATGTTAAAGTAACAATATAAAAATCAGGATAACTCGTGTAATAGCATCAAGTCCATTTCATACACCTAGGTGAAAAATGTGTCATTTCTTAATAGATTCAATGTATATTTTATTCCGTTATCTACCTTTACAGTTTCTACAATGGTGGGTCAAATCAAACTCACTCTCAGAGCCTCTCACAGGACCATTCTTAGTTTTGTTACAAATACACAAAATGCAAATACTACATGATGGGTTCTATTCACAAAACCGAAGATTTCGGCACAGTATGAAAAAAAATTAAATCACATCATCACAACAATAACCTCATAAAACATCAGATTGGAAAACAAAATAAATTGACTGTTGTTTAATCAACGTATGTTAAAGAATACATGAACATTCATTAGTTCCAGTTTTATTTAAAAAAAACTTTTGGGTGCTATGAGTGCTATTCAGTAGCTTGGGACATCCTCCCGACGTGAAAGATGCTTTACAAATATAATTTTGTATTGTATTGTATTGTATCAAAAGCTGCCAATTTAATTCTGATCACCTATGTTCTACAATCTTAAACAAATGGCAGGATTGTAGGATCAATGCTGCAGAGGGTATGGGGAAAAAGATCAGATGAACCTGAGAAAACTCACATAAATCACAGTAAAAAATAGCTTAAATAGCAATTAATTTACATGCACTTCAGTGTTGGTGTGAGAAATAGGCAGCCATGAGTGAGAAAGTGAAAGAGAGGGAGTACTCCATGCGCTTATGCTGCCATTGTCACTTGTGTTAGCAACTGAGGATTCTTAAACAGGAAAATAATATTTTTAATCCTGTATACTGTAATAGGAAGATGTTTGAACAAACTTTATTTTACCTGTATGATAAAGAAAGTTAATTCCTGTTACAATGTCACTGTAAACAAAAATATGCACCCAATCTACCAATTATCTAAACTGTCCCTCTTTGATAATTGTCTTTTGATTAACTGGAAGTGGATTTTTGATGTTTACAATCGCACATTATTCTAGAGGTATTTAAATAAGTCACTTTAAATATATCTTATTTAGTGCATTCAAAATGTTACCATTGCCACTTTGCAGACCTTTCCATCCCAACCAAAGAACAAGTCATGGTCGAACACAGTCATAGAATCCTAGAATCATAATTTTACAGCACAGAAGGAGGCCATTCGGCCCCTTGTGCCAACTCTTTGAAAGAGCTACCAACGAGTCCCACTCGCCTGCTCTTACTCCACAGTCCTGAATTTTTTTCCTTTTTAAGTACCTATCAAATTCCCTTTTGAAAGCTATTATCAAATCGGCTTCTACCAGTGCATTCCAGACCGTAATAACTCTCCAGGTAAAAAAAATCTCATCTCCCCTCTGGTTCTTTGCCAATTATCTTAAGTCTGTATCCTCTGGTTACTGACCCACCCAACAGAGGAAACAGTTTCTCCCTATCTACTCTTATCAAAATCCCTCATAATTTTGAACACCTTTATTAAATTTCCCCTCAACCTTCTCTGCTCCAAAGAAAATAATCCCAGCCTCTCCGGTCTCTCCACATAATTGTAGTCCCTCATTCCCGGAATATTTTTTGTAATGCTATCCTCACCAGCAATGTGCTGGGTTTAATGTCACACAAACTATTACCCTGCTGAACAACTATAATCATAATGGCTGACTTGATGATGTAATAAGAGGAACTATGTGGGTTTTGTTTGACAATCAAATTACAATAAAAATATTTTAACCACTGAAATCCCGTTTATGAACAAATGTTCCCTTCATTGCAAGAGATTTTTACGGTATCCAAATCGGTTCAATTTAAACTGAGCACTGAAATTAAAGCAAAATTAAAGTTTGGTCACACCTTCGCACAGAAATACCAGCAATAAAATACATGGGTTAATTTGCAGTATTTGCAAAATGGGAGACAAACAAATAAGAACTTCTTCTGGAAACCAGAAATGTAAATGAAATGTATTTCACACTGATCACAGGAACACTGGTCGCAGATATAATAATAACATTAGAGCAGAGCGGACGGAGTTCCTGTGGATTCACAGAAATTCTTATCATGCGCCTGAATTATTCTTAGAGAGATATGAAAGGAAATCTTAAATATAATTCAGTAGTGTCTCTCTTACTGCGGCGACCTGGTTGGTGTCAGCATTGGAAAAAAACACAAAATGGCAGAATCATGAATTATTCAATGGTCAGGAGCATACAAAGCAGTATTCATTCTTCACGGAACAATCTCTTGCAGGACCCTGATATCCACACACTCTCATTTTCCAGCAGGGTTCTTTGAATAATAATAATGAGTGTGAACGTCGTCACTAACTTTACAGTAAATCCTGTGACTCGCTTTGAGACATCCTCCTGATGTGAAAAGTACTATAGTAAATGTACGGATTATTATTATTTTATAAAGCTGCCCTGGCTGAGATCAGCGAGCAGCACCAACCGCGAATTGAACCTGCAACCTTCTGGGATGGTATAGCTAAAGTACTATACTGAATCCTGTTTTTACCCACTGGCCAGGGTGATCCAACTGGTAGCCCGTGGCCCAGGAGATGACTTCACAAGGCAGTGTGTGTCTGGAGCCCCGGCTTGGCCTGACCTGGCAGCAAAAACAGCTGCGCAAGGCACTGAGCAGCAGAATCTGTCAATCATTTTCAAAACGGTAACAGAAGAGAGAGACACACACACATTGACACACAGAGAGAGTGAGATACAGAGACACACACAGATAGAGAGTGAAATATAGAGACACACAGACAGAGAGAAAGAGAGACATACACACATTACAGAGAGAGATACAAAGACACAAACAGAGAGAAATACACAGAGAGAGATACAGAGAGAGAGAAATACAGAGAGATACAGAGCTACACACAGAGAGAAATATAGACACACAGACAGAGAAAGAGAGAGACACATACACACAGATACAGAGAGATACACATACACAGAGATACAGAGAGAGATACAGAGACACAGACAGAGAGAAATACAGAGACACACAAAGAGAGAGACACATACACACAGATACAGAGAGAGATACAGAGACACAGACAGAGAGAGATACACACAGAGAAAAAGATACAGAGAGAGAGATACAGTGACCGAGAGAGAGATACATAGACACACAGATATAGAGACACACCTAGGCAGAAAGATACAGATAGAGAGGAGCGAGAGACACACAGAGGCAGAAACCTCATCGCCTTCTGTATTATTGTTTTAAAATGTGTAAGACTTTTTACATTGCCTATTTAAAGTTTGCATTGCAATTAAAAATACAGTGAAATTAAGTAACACAGTACGCAATTTAAAACATAGGATTTCTATATGATTCTTATGGATTATGGTTCTGGAAGGGAAACACCAAAATATTGTTGATGTGGCTCGCACACATTTCTCAAATCCGGTATCTGGCCCTCAGCAGCCAAAAGGTTGGATCACCCTGCACTGGGCTTTCACCGAGCCATAAATACTTACTTTTTTTCCAGTTTAAAGTTCTCAAGTGTTATAAACAGAAGAGGTCTTGATGTAAATAAATAACTCCACTTATGAAACAATGTGACTTATCTAATCTTTAGATTATAAAACCCTCTGTTTTTAAATTTGGATTACAACCCAAACGCCAGGAAATGGCAATTAAACACTCGAACATTTTCTGACTGGTTCGAACAAGGCCGCGCAAAAATCTAACATTCGAGAATATATTGTTGAAAGTTACAATTATTTATTAACTGCAATGGATTGTTTTCTGTATAAGATCTATCTTTTCCACTACGACTTTGGCCATCTCGGCTCCCCCCACAGCTTGGGTGCTCCCCATCAGTCATGTGAAACACTTTTGAGGCATCCTCCAGATGTGAAATGCATAAATATGTGAAATGCATAAATTGTTGTTGCTGCACTCCCCACCTCAAATGAAATATTATAACACAGTTGGTTCGAATGATCAGAAACTGAGAGAAGGCTGAAGCGTGAAAACAGCTTCTCCCGCTGCACTAAACTGAACAAGACTGAATACAACCTGTGAGAGAGTCCTCCACAAGCAATGAAGATTGAATACTGCTTTGAATGTCCCTTATCACTGAATAATTCATGAGGCTGCCATTTTGTGTCTTTTCCCATTGCTGACTCCAACCAGAATGTAGTGGTTTCTGTGGTAAGAAGTGACACTGCTGCATTATACATGAGATTTGCTTCCAAATCTCTAACAGCAATTTAAGTGTCTGGGAAGCCATTTATGAGTGATTTTTTTCCTTAAAGGGCTAAAGAATGTTTTTTGAAATAAATGCTGAAAATTGCTTCTCTCTCCTGATGGAGAACTATAGCCAGAAGAGTCAAACCCAAGGTCCATTACTGCAGAAATTTTGATTGCTCCTTGGCTTGATCTATCCATTCTCTGCTTCTCTATTAAAACTCCTCTTGACCTCAGGATAGGAAACCTGCTCAATCTCTTTTCATTCACCGCACATTAGAGCTATGATATCAGGTAGATCTGCTGCCAATCAGAGTAACTCTTCACACTCTGCCGATATTCTCCCAAGTGGATTGTGCAAATTTTCTGTATAAGATCTATCTTTTCCACCATATAAGATATTCTCCCAAATATGCCACCAACGCTATCAGTATAATAATAATAATCCTTGCATTTGATATAGCGCGTTTCACGTCGGGAGGACGTCCCAAAGCGCTTCACAGAACACACTGTAAAGTGAATTGACTGTATATTTGTGGGCGAACGCGGCAGCCAATTGCACACAGCAATGTCCCACAAACAGTCGTAGATTGAAAATGATGAA